GTTTCTTGAAAGAAACCCGAATATCTGCTTCAACAGCATGACTGGGTAGTCCCATAACCCCGGATGAAGATGGTGGAGCTAAAAATACAGAAAGCTTTGCTCGAATGAAGCTTTCCACTTTAGCGGTCTCTCCTTGAGGAAATGAAGTAATGGCTTGGCTGGCGTGTGTGGGCTGTCCTGAGTGACCAGAAAGTGTGCGTGTTACCGTTGGCTGTTGCTCTTACAGGCACCTTCGCTGTGATCAGCCTGATGATTGGCGGGGTGGCAGTCCGGGAGGCTCCAGATTCCGCCTTCGAGATCCATGCCACCAATGGGAGCAACACCACATCCTTTTTGGACACTGAAGCACGTGATGCTAAGAGGGTTCAGGTTGCGGTGGCCCTGACCTTCCTTGTGGGCATTATTCAGGTGAGCTGCTGGTGTTGTAGTGAATTTATTCTTCTAAGCAAACTATAGTTCTAATTTTCTTAGAACTATAGTTTTTTATAAAACCCTATAGATGTGCACATGGGTAATTCTGTGCTGCCCATCGAAATTCCACAATTGGTTTAATAAAGCATGAGACATCTGGAGCTCAGGTATAGTGGTTCATTCTACTGCCACACAGCCCATAAGTTCCTGGGTTTGATTCTGGAGTGGGGAGCCTTTTGTGTTGATTTTGCAATTTCTCTTGTTCACAGGGGGGGTTTGTCAGGCATCCTGGTTTCCTCCCACCTCCCAGTTTTATGCTGGCTAGGTTACATGGTTTTCCTAAGTTGTCTGTGTGCGTGCTCCGTTATAGAAGAGTGACCCAGAGTCTCGTTTCACCTGTGCCCTGTGCCCGTGCCACCTGAGTCTGGGATAGGCTCCATACTGCCTCAGCTCTTCAGAGGAATCGGAGGTGTTTGGATAAAGGACGAATGCATGAAACATTTTAATGCCATTAAGAGAGTCATGTCATGTCATTTGCCAAACCGCTTTATACCATACAGTGTCATGGGAAGCCGGAGCCTACCCGGCAAGCAATGAGTGCAGGGCAAGTGCAAGCCAGTCATACATGGGGACAATTTGGAGGCTGCGGGGAAAATATGGCCCGGACACAGGGGTAACTCCCTACTCTTGAGAAATGCGCAGGGATCTTTAATGACCACTGACAGTCAGGACCTCGGTTAAATATTTAATCCAAAAGATGGCACCCACTACACTAAGGTGTCCCACCACTATACCGGGACATTAGGACCCACACAGACCGCAGGGTGGGCACCCCCTGCTGGTCCTCCTAACACCACTTCCAGCAGCAACCATAGCTTCCCAGGAGGTCTCGCATCCAGGTACTGACCAGGCTCAACCCTGCTTAGCTTCAGTGGGCAGCCAGTTGAGAGCTGCAGGGTGATATAGTTGCTGGCCCATTAAGAGAGTTTCCTTTTATTAAAGAAAAGCGATAAAACATTTTTTTTTTAACATGTAGGAGAATAGTTCCTCAGATCTTCGCTTTCGGAAAACAAACTAGGTCATTGGAAGATGGCTGACGTAAAACTCCCTTGTCCCTGTTGCAGATCTGCTTCGGCCTCCTGCGGTTCGGGTTCGTCGCCATCTACCTCACGGAGCCGCTGGTCCGAGGCTTCACCACCGCGGCCGCCGTGCACGTCTTCGTCTCGCAGCTCAAGTACCTCCTGGGAATCAAAACCCGGCGCTTCAGCGGGTCCCTCTCCGTTGTGTACGTAAGTATCGACGGACGTCTCCCGTAACTCTGCTCCGCAAGGCACGCAGGCTGCTACGGGCGACCGGGTTTGTTCACGCTGACCCTCCCCTCCCCCTCTCCCGCAGAGTTTCATCGCTGTGCTGAAAAATATCGGCACCACGAACGTTGCCGCCATCGTGCTGGGGCTGACCTGTATTGTGTTCCTGGTAGCAATAAAAGAAGTCAATGACCGCTTTAAAAAGAAGCTGCCTGTGCCGATCCCTGCAGAGATCATAGTGGTAAGTACTGTATTTCCAGCCGTAACGCGTGTTCTGTGTGTTGGGTGTGCAACCGTTTGCACTCTGTCACTAGATCCCATCTTCTCTTTCCCCATGAACAGGTCATCATTTCCACTGGGGTCTCGTATGGGATCCAGTTGTTCGAGAAGTATGAAGTGGAAGTTGTCGGGAAAATCCCCTCGGGGTAAAGAAAAGACTGTTTTTGCAATTCAAAACCTTCCTCGTGAAAACAACGTGTGAAAATGTCCCGTGGGCTTTGTGTGAGATCTGGATTGACTGCAGCATTTGATGAGTGAATGTTTTTTTTTTCTCTGAAGTGACTATACACGAAGTGGGCTTGACGTATCAGAATCTTAGTGTAAGATAATATTATCTTATAAGATTCCCATCAATGAGTTCATTTTGACAGGATGTACAGTAAGTAATCTAAGATGGAACAGCTTGATTTTGAAAAGACAGGTTTTCAAGTTTTTGTTATTGGTGTGCATTCCAAAATGTGGCCTAATGCTGTGTGTTTTTTTCCCACTGGAGACTAATAAATATGTTCCTGATAAGCTAAGCTTTAGATTCTTTCACTGGGAAACTGCCAAAGGGAAAGTAAATTCATTTTAAACTCTTCCCCCCCACCCTCTTCCTACCCTGTGTTTCAGCCTGCTTCCTCCTGCTGTGCCCAATTTCTCCTTCATCGCCAACCTGATAACTGATGCTATTGCCATAGCGGTGGTCGGCTTTTCCATGGCTGTGTCCATGGCCAAGATCTTCGCTCTTAAACACGGCTACACGGTCAACGGCAACCAGGTACTTCCAGTCCCCTTACCTCCAGGTCGCACTGGCAACAAAGGGCAAAGAACATAGTGCTTTAGTCATGTAGAGAACGTCTTTCAACGTACCTGAATTATTTGTTCTAAAGTGCTTCTTACGGTTTAGCATGGAGTTATTTTATGAGAGAAACTTTCATGCCTCGCCATATTTGCGAAAGAGAATTTAGACAAGAAGGGAAATAAAGAGGACCTGCCACTATTTTATGACAATTCTTCACCATCGTGTGTGGTCAACTAGGTCTGCTTAAGGGGAGACCAGGAGGTCCATATTACTGCCTGTTGGTCTCGTTGCTACAGCTCGGTGTTTATCTTTATTTAAGCTGTGAAGTTCTGCAGCTTATTTCCTGGTTTCACACTTGTTATCCTGTAGCCAGTAATGATTTTTCACATCTGTTCTTTTCACACAGAGAGAACCTGTTGTAAAAACCGTGTGTGCGGGTTCAGCGGGGGCCTGACCTGCATGGTTCAAGGACATCACTCCTTCCTCTGTTGAACTCTTGTTGCAGGAGCTGATTGCTCTGGGCGTGTGTAATTTCGTGGGGTCCTTTTTCCAGACGTTCACAGTCACCTGCTCCATGTCCCGCAGCCTGGTCCAGGAGAGCACTGGTGGGAAGACGCAGGTAGAAATGGCGCTTCATTCCCCGGCTCGCATCTCTCAGACCCTGGGTTCAGCTCTGGCTTTGGGTGTGTCCACCCTCCACAATGTTTTATTGTAGAATTGACTGGAAAACTGAATCTTGATTCAGCTTTTCTTTTAACAAGGGAGAGTGTATTGCTGCCAACTATCAAGGTACTATAAACAGAGTTACAGATTGAAGCTGAACAATTGAGTATTGGTGTATTTTGTGAATTTGCACTGTGTGTCTGTTTGCAGATTGCAGGGTTGTTGTCCTCCCTGGTGGTGCTGCTTGTGGTTGTGGCTGTTGGCTTCCTCTTTCAACCATTACCTCAGGTAAGACAACAGAACAGTTCAGCTTGTTCCCTGCTTTAACCGCTGCCGTTCCTGAAAACCCTGATAACAGGGAAATGCTTTGTCATCATAAGTCATGCTCTCTTCTAGACCTCACCCACAGCGTTTGTTTTGCATTCATACTGAAACCAAAGTACTCAGGGAATAACTAACCAGTATCACATGATATATGGTGCTAAATGGGAGTTTATTGCTGCTGATTCATAGTTTTTCAGATTGGTGTGACTATTGGAATGAAGACCACAGCATTCCCATGAGCCCGGAAATGTTTGTCATTCACCCACAATTACTTTTATAAGGAAGGAATGATTCGTTAGTACTGTTGCTTAATTTAATTTTGGTCTAGTGAGGGTGGGTGTGTTGCTAGTATAGTGGTGGTGTGGTGAACTGCTGTGGTCTTGACCGTAAATCTTAGTTACCTCATTTTAACAGCTAAGCACTCTGATGGATTTACATCTCATAAATGGCTGAAAGACTGCACAAGAGTTCTTGCTTATGGATTTTCTTGTGTTTTTTCCCCCCTGTCACCTTACTGCCCAACCCTGTCCATAGTGATATGGTGATGTGCAGTGTGGTTGAATGTTTTCATTCCACATCATGATCATTACCCTTCCTTCAGCCCCTGTGTACCACACACTCCCCTAACACCGGAGGATGTCCTTACGCAAAGGACAGGTTTCAGTGGACAGTGGAAACCGTTCAGGAGCGCTGAAACTCCCTGGCCCAATCTCTTAGCAAGCGAAATGAGACAAACGGCAGTCGGATTTGAAAGACGAGTCACAGTGCATTTGTTTTATCCTTTTTCTTCACAGACCGTGCTGGCAGCAATTGTCATGGCGAACCTGATTGGCATGTTTAAGCAGTTTAGGGATATCCCTTCACTCTGGAGAACCAGCAGGATTGAACTTGTGAGTTTCTGGTTAAACTTTTTTGATGAGAACTTTCTGGAATATTAAGACTGCACGGTGGAAAGAAGGAAAAGTAGCACTTGTGTAAGCATACAACATCATCTGTTGGCAGGGATGCAAGGGCCTTGGAAGAGCTATGCTGTGAAGGCAGGAAGTGCTTTGGCTCTCTGTGGCTAAGAAAGGCTCATTGGATGTAAAGGATATGACAGATCTCCAGCTCTTTTTTTTTCAGACAAGTTAACTGCTGAGTCATGGCTGGTTGTGTGCACACATGCCTATCTGCTCCTGCTTGCTTATGAAGAAGGAAAGGTTGTTTTGTAACAAAAATCAGATCAACTGTGTGGTCTAACAAGTACATGGCTTTGCACTGTAGAAAGTGGCTCCTTATTTATTTACTGTATAACTCCTTTTTTTTAAATAGCTCAAACACAATCGCATATACAACATGATAACACACACGCCAGATATTGAATATGACTTTTTGTATTGATAAGACATTGTGGTGTAATACTAAAAGTTTGGTTAGAATTGTTGTGGAACATATTTGGTGAGATTGTGTTGATTATTTAGCCAGCAAGCCTGATCAGCCTCAGAATGTTAACAGCATTTAAGGTCCCAGCAAAAATCCTATAAGCTTTAGCACGTCTTTGAAATCCAAGCCAAGGTTATCTCTAGGCTATAGTTCTGCAGGAGAAGGGTACATTATTCACTAAGTGCTAGAACAATAGAAAATTATACAAATATTTGGACTGGAAAGATTTTTGCAAATCCCATGACTTAATTAAAATGTTACGGTGACTACCTACTGTGTGGTATTTCATTGTGAAATATCTAATTTTGCTTGACCTGCAAGAAATGTGGAAGTCTGAAACTTCCTGTCTTCATGAGTCATCATGAAAGCAGATTGCAAAGCCATGTGGCATTGATTTTTTTTTGTCTTGATATTACAGGTTAAGTCCATTGTATGCCATTAAGACATTTTTTTAAATATAAAATTGCAATGCTGATTATTTTTAAGAGCCCTTTTAGTGACAAAAATAAGATTAAGTCTTAGGCTGTTTTATCTCTGCTTTTTAGACTACTTTCAAAGATACTAAGCATTGGAAGAAACTTATTGCTATGTTTGTGTGTGAATTATCAAAGCTTACAAAATCTATAATTAGTTGATCCTTCATGACTCGCTGTGATATGGAGAGGTGATGAGATAATTTAATACAATCAAGAGTAAAACTAAAAAACAAAGGAACCTATATGCCTCATGTATCAAGAGAATGCCTACACTCTATCAGTATGTTAAAAACTGGACTAAGTCGGCGCACTGTCATTCAGTGTCTGGGCTGCTCACAGCCACCAATTTCTAACCTAGTGAGACATCAGACTGTCATTGATAGGTCATGTGATCTGGAAGATCGCACATCAAGATCATCACATTGTCACTCAGGTTTGGTGGCTGGAGTAGGAGGAGTGTAGTTACTACACAGCTCCACTAGCAGCGATTCATGGCAAACCTGCACACATTGCCCTACAGGTGCACCTAGTCCTGGGACGGCCCTCGCTGCCCTTTCTGCGGGCTTGTCCTGATGGGACAGCATTCCAGCAGGGAAACGCTTCCTCATACTGCTCATGTAACCTTGGCCGCCTTGTTGACAGAAGAGATTGTAGCTGCAGAGATGTGTGCGTGTCCTACTTGCCAATCTTGAGCCCACATCTGTGACATGAGTTAGGATGATGTGACATCTAGGGCTCAGGAACCAGTGCGCAGGCACAAGCTTGCTTGCTTTAGGAGAAGGGGGAAAAAAAACTCCAGAAGACAGCATCTGTAACCTACTGCAAAGCATGCTTCTCAGATGTACACCTTCATGGCAGATGTCTAATTGGATTGATCAATATGACAAGTGTTAATTGTGAGAATGACATTTATAAATATGCCAGTTCAGTAAAATGCTAGTGCACCAGCTACAAAAAGTTATTTGATCCACACAATCTCTCAAAACAGTGGTATCTGTATATATCGCCTGTATTTATATTTCTGACATTTTGAAATAGATACTGTATGACTGAGGAATACAAAAGTGTTTTTTTTGTATATAATTGACATTTATAAACTTCTATAAGTTATTATTAATAGACTGTTTATCAGAGCATATGGAATGTGGTGTTGAAATTCATGTTGCAGAACGTCATTAGCTGAAGGATTATACCCTGCTGCTCTGTGGCTCTCTCTTCAGTTACCCAGTGTGATAGGTTTCCTCCTCGCCTAGATTAAGGACAGCTGCTTACTTGCTGCAGGTGATGATGAACCTACAGACGCTTCCTTTACTAAGTGACTGATATTGTTTGTCTCCTGTAGGCTATCTGGCTGGTGGCGTTTGCTGCTTCTGTCCTGCTGGGACTGGATTATGGGTTGCTGGTGGCCGTCGGGTTTGCAATCCTGACGGTCATTTACAGAACGCAAAGGTACAGCAGAGCAGGACTTGTGTGTATTAGAAAATCCTCCTTTAAAACCCTTAGAAATTGCTCCTCCATTCTCCTTTCAGGAACGCCCTAGTAACAGTACACAAACTGAAAGTGTCAGCTCCAGAGTCGGAGCCGAATATGACATGACGTATAAATATTTCAGAATCCCAATATTGATGGCAAATGAGGTTGAGCTTTCTAGCTATATATCAGGAGACTATATAACAGTGGAAGTTTAAAGACTCATTCGTTCGTTTTGTTTGCAACTGGGGATTTATTAGAAAGCTTTAAAATAGTATTTAAGCAAAATCCAGCCTGCTGGGAATGAATGCTTTATGGCATTAGGAGCCAAAGTAGGGGAAGGCTTGACCTTCATAGTGTCAAGTAATGTAATTTTCAATCATGAGTTTTAGTATTTTGAAAGAATTACCAAGTAAATCAAATATTCTCGTCTGTAGCCCAAAGCACTCAATTCTGGGGCAGATTCCTGACACGGGAATGTACTGCGATACTGAGGAATATGAGGAGGTAAGGTGTTGAAAATACTTTCCTTCTTCATTTTTTATGTTTTTTTTTCCAGTTCCATAATTCACATCCCGTCTTCATTATGGAGTGGCATGAATGAATATTGTATTAAATGTTCTCTTTATTTTGCTTATGAGAGTACTGACAAAAAGAGTAACATTAGTATTAGAACAGTCGACTCGTGCTTTATGAACCAGGTGGGACGGTGTGAATAGTTTGGTGCTTATTTGCTTTAATGAGCAAAACAGCCTTAGTTTTCATTTCACCTGTCTTAAGATCCAGAAACTGCTCACACCTCATTATTTCCTTCAGGCCACTGAGCGTGTGGGTATCAAGATATTCCATTCCAACAGCTCTATCTACTTTGCGAATAGTGACCTGTATATTAATGGCCTAAAGGAAAAGGTAAGTGGAGTCTTTAGTGTTTCGTTTGGCAACACATTAAGGTTTTGGTTGTGTGAATTTAAATGAAAATTTTGTTCGTGATGCAATACAGTATTTAAGAATATGATGGACTGTGTAAGGCAGTATAGAAGTAAGGGGGCTGATCTGAGTCTCGTTTTCAGCACAGTAGAATCGGAGCTATTAAACTGTGCTTTTCAGTTTTGATTGTGTTAGCGTAAAGATATTTTTAAATTGGCAGTAGAACTTCAAACACTGCAGAAGAGTGTAACCAGAAGACTTTCTCACAGGTTCCTTACTAGGTGCTCAGAAACCGCACCAAGTCCACGGGCAGTTGTTTTAATGAGTTGGGTCATGTCCCTGCGTCTCCTGCTCGGGGAATTTGAGGTTTCTGTGTTGATGTCCTCGCTGCAGACCGGCGTGGACCCTGCGAAGCTGCAAGCAATGAGGAAAGCCATGGAGAAGAAGAGGAGGAAGGCGACTGAGGCTCAGAACCAGATCGTCCTTCACGAAAGACAGGCTGTTGTTAAACTCGTGAGTGAATATTCTAGTTCAACATCATTAACAGTCCTATATAAATAACACAGGCTGGGGATGCCTTTCAAGTGTGTGTTCTGTGCAGAAATAATAGCGTCTCATAATAGAATTCCAATCGGATATGAACCCTTCTTTCCACAAAAAAAAAACATTTTAATAAAAAATATCTTTATTGTCTTAATCCATCCTGCTACTTTTAATAATGAAATGTTCTTTTCTGGGGCTCTTTCTCAGGTGCGCCAGCTGGAATTCTGTGCTCTTGTTTTCCTCCCAGATTGACATTTTGACTGTTGTTTGAAATGACTGTGAAGTTAGCAAGAAAGAATAGTAATTGAGAGTGAATGAGACTACTATTTTTGTCACTGTGAGCAAGTACTGCTGTTCCAAGATGCCTTATCCTGTGTGATTAAAGTACACTTTCTGTATGATTAGTTTCTGACAAGTTTGTTTTCACTGTCCTTCACAATCAGACTTTGTGTAATTACACCAGTCAGCATTTCTTTTGTCATTCTAATAGTTACTTGGTTGCAAGTGGTTTTCTTTAATGTAAGTAAACAACAATTGCAAACATACAAGCTTGGAGAATCAAGCGACGATATGGTTTTCCATTAGCTCATTTCGGTTTTAGTACTGATTTAGGAGTCACTTCATGCAGCAGATCTGTTCCAGGCTGGGGTTGAATTGAAAATGGAGTATCCATGTAGGAGTTACTGGTGCAGTCCTGAATGACTGCTACATGAATCCTCAGTTTTCTGTCGGGGAAAGGGAGTGGATAGCTGGAATGTTTTGCAGCTTGGATTTGGAGTGTTAGTGCTGGAGGTGCACCAAGCTCTCAGTCTTAGACACGAGTACGCTGTTCTACACAGGATCTGAAAACCTGTCTTTGGATTGTGAAGTAAGCCATGTGGTTATTTAGAGCCTGACAAAAATCTGAGACACAGGCTTTACAGCTTTTGATTTCTTTCAGATAATGGAAAACATTGTAGCTTAAAGATACTGAGAAATGAGGCCTGTTTCTTTAGTATTAATCGCCAATGGCAAAGACAAATGCATTGTACTGCACTTTCATATGGAACTCTATTATTCCATGTTCTCTTAAAACTATTTTTTCTCACAAACCTACTGTCGCTGCAAAGAAAGGGGTGGACATTTATGATTAAGAAAATGTGCAGTCGGAATCAATAAAGAAGTGTTTCGTTATTTATAGACTGTGCCTGCAGAGGACCATGACTCTTCAAACTGCTGTATGCATGTTAAATATTTAAACAATTTGTCTTTATCTGAAAATCTGTCATGTACTTCAGATCCAAAGCTGGCAGCATATACAGTAAGTTAGGCGGTAGTAGTTCAGGTGGGTAGCTGCGTCAGCATGCGTAGGCTGCAAAGAAACAAGTAATAGATTTATTCCATGCTGGAAAAAAGAAGAAAGAGAACACAACGTTTCGGCCGTGGAGCCTTCTTCAGGTGTCACACTATTACTTGTTCCTTTACAGTAAGTTAGGGCCTAACTGTTTGGCATAAATTCAGTGACTTAGTGTCACTGAGCAGGAATAATTGTTTTTAACCTGTTTCTCATTATTGATAAGAATCGCAGGCTTTGCAGTTTGTGTAGCCTGAGCTCCAGGTTGACTTCCCTTTAAAGAGTGCGAGAAGGAAACTGACGCAGTGGCGGACTGTCATGGCAACGGTAGACCACTGGGTAAAAAGTGTCGGTGTGCTGGTTCGTTGTTTGTGGGGCCTCAGACAGTCCTCTGGGGGACAGCTGACAGGGAAGGTGCCGCTTTTTCAGCACACGTGTTTGGTCCTGACAGACGGAGGACGAGGAGATGAGCATCAAGCACGAGCTGGCGGACCCAGAGGCCCACACCGGTCACCAGGGAAACGGGCAGTTTGCAGCGGTCAAGATGGACTCCGACAGCGAGGAGGCGCAGAGCTTCCTGGAGCCGCTGACTAACGTGCATTCCATCATACTGGACTTCACTCCCGTCAACTTCATCGATTCTGTGGGAGCCAAGGCTCTGAAGTCTGTAAGCACCCCGTTTTCTCAGAGCTCACGGCTCCCAAGATTGTCAGAGGGATGTTCAGGCCTTATGAGCACTTTTCTGCTGCCTGTTTCTTTCCCTAAAGACTAAAAAATTGTGTTTTTAGTAGAAAATGCCTTGATCTTCATTTGGCTAATTATATAAACTGATCTTGTCCTTATCTAGTAACATATTATACCTATTTATTTCAGTGGATGTGCTTTCGCCTATGCAATACAAACACTATATACTTGCACACATATACTGTACTTCAGATATTACAGCTGGGAATGTACTAGCCGTTGCTGTACTAGGCTGGATTTAATTTCTGTAAACTAGATGCTATTTTACATTCTTTTGCATCTTGGTTTTATTGAAGAACCAAGTTCACAAAGCTGGCTCTATAATCTTTATAAAGATTTTAATTACATGGGTAACATGCAATGTTTTATAATCTGCAGTTGGCTGTAATTACAGTATAGAGGATGACTTTTTTTCCTAATACTATGAAGTGTGGTACTCCAGAGGTTGTAAAAGAAAAGCTGTGATTTTAAATTGTGATACAGAGAGAAAAATAGACAGTGTCCAAATACCAAAATACCTTCTTAAGTGCATTTTGAAAACTATATTATCACCAGACAACTTCTTACCCTACTGCTACAAATATGGCTTTAGGCCTAATATCAAATCTATTACAGTTCAAATATTTGCAAACATTAGTTGGACTAATGGTGTCTTGGTTTCTGAGATGCAAAAAGTGATGCTACATTTAGTATTTGATAAGCTTTTCTTACTAGCATATGTACAGCATGAAGGAATTCAAGGCATCATCAGTATGTTTTTTTTTCTTCAGGTAATAAAGGAGTACAACGAGATTGATGTCAAAGTGTTTATCGGGGGATGCAGCAGTAAGTTTTCCACCTATCGGCTCTACTTTTGTTTTATCTCAGGATGTTTATTTAATCATACAGTGTTGAAGTACAGCTGTTAACATTTTAGATTTTTGTACCTGTCCCTTGGCCACAGCATATTCAACAGTAACAGTACCCCCCTAATCAGACATGTTCTTACTTAAGTGAATGGGGCAACAGGAGAAATCAGTTTTCAGTTAATTTTGGGCATTTACACCCTTTATCTCCTGGATGACTGAGAAAATGGACTTCCACGGAGTGAAGAGACCACAGAGGGGAAGTCAGGTTGGAACAGATCGAAAGTTATAGTGGAGTTCTTCTTGTTAAAGTTATTTTCTGCTCTACAGAATTAAGTGCATTATCTACAGATCTCTTTCTTTTAAAAAGAGAAAAGGGCATACCATCTACATAAGGGTGAAAAACATGCTTTTTTTAACATACACATCCTTTTCAAATCTGAATGTATTTTGTTTATATGAAAAAAGAACATTGAAAATCAAGTTACTCTAGTCAGGCTGGTCACATTGGTTTCCATCAGTAAGAAAGGTAACTTGCAAATTCTTATCAGCAAATAATTATTCTATACAGTAAATTGGCATAAATTACAAGTTTGGAATTCAATCTGAAATGACAGCATTTCAGTGCTCGTTGTAAGGTGTTGTACAGTGAATGTATGGCCCTCCTTGAGTCTGCATCCATGGTGCCTTATCGGAGAAGTGTGAAGGAGTGTAATCAGTCTTGCTCTCATTCACAGGGTCCGTCCTTGCTGATCTGATCCGACTCGACTTCTTCAGCGGCTCCATCACCAGAGAGCTGCTCTTTCCCAGTGTCCATGACGCCGTCTTGTACTGCCAGCACAAAACCTCCCCTCCTGGGGCCGAGTCGCGCGCAGACGACGCGTCGCTGACGGGAGGGGAGCAGTGAGACGGGGTGCCGCGCTGGCCCCGGGCGGTGTGGAGAACGACGGCAGGAGCAGCAGGGCCGAGCTGGCCCGGCTGTTCTTTGCTTTTCCAAGTGCAATTTCTTTTTTTATTTACGATTCTACATGTTTAATAAGGGTAGGGGCTTATTAAGAGGTTTGGTTCCGGTTGTCTGAGTAACATTCCGGTTTTGCTTTGAGCACAAGGCCGGGAGTCATTTATTTTGGATTATTTCTACGCCCTTTCCTGTGAAATTGGGAATTGGGGCACATCTCCGTCTACCTACTGTATAATGCAGCCTTTTCCTTCAATCAAGAAGGGTTTACAAATGGCTGTTTCCATTTGCTCATCCCTCCCCCCTGCTGGGGCAAGAATTGGTTCAATAGGGTTTTTGTTACACCTCGGTCTTATTTTCTAGCACCTCTTGCACAAGCACAGCACAGGAAGGGCATGGCAGTGCTTGCGCGCGTTCCTCTTCTGTTGGGAAGGTCATGTCATCAGTCAGCAGGTACTTAAACGTCCGAGATGTTGCAAAACTGGTAAGAGAGGGTAACTGATACACTAGGGAGGAGCCTGCAGGTCATTTTCCTACAGAGTCGATGTCAAACGTCAGAGGCAGGCAGGGGATATGTGAGGCTACTATACCTTTAATTTCAGCATCATAATCAGTGTGCTTTGTAGTTCTTAATTTATCCATTTTGGTAACTTGATGTAGTTTTATTTTACCTCTTTTTTCAGTTTTTACAAAACCTCTTGTGAACAATATAGAAATTAACCCAAAAAGGCAATTATGTTGGTGTTGTAAAACGTTGATAAACCTGAATGTTCTGATGTGTTACTGCAGACAGTTACACTGTAGGGCTGCCATGGTGCATAATGAGAGGAAGGATTTGCTTATACAGTCCCGTTTTTACATTTCTGTTAGATCAAAAGCTTATATCATTTGAATAAAATATTTTTGAAAAGTTGATTTTATCGGTAACATTCTAATCTGGATAGAGCATTTAAAGTGATGTGAATGACCAGCACAATGTAAAATTTGATTTTTGTTTTTTTTTTTGCTTTGCTTTTAAATATTAGTGGAATACTTTAATGTTGCTGCAGTATGTTTATATGGTTATGTATTTTGCTTGATTGCACAGAATAGTTTTGCATACATCAGAGTTGCTGGAATAAGAAAATCAGGAAAAATGTTTGAGCTGCAGGTAGACTTCAGACTGTCATTTTAGATATTTATTTATTTGAGTTACTTATGCCAATTTTTGTTCTTCACAACAAGGCAAGGGAGAGAGAGTGGTTTAGTCTCTGTAGAAAGAGCTGTTGTACACAATTCAGTATAAAATGTGGGAGGCCTGAATTCAGATTTGGAAATCTCAGTGCCTGAGCAATTGGGTCAGCCTGATTGAAGCAGTCATTCCTCTTCAGGTGGTGAACTCTGAACGCACAGCTGTACAATGTGACTGTACCAACCGATTCAAGACTGCAATATCTCTAAAATAGTTGACACTATTTTAGAAAAGCTGACGGTGTTATCAGTCTTGCATTTTGGTATCCTGCTGATTCACCTTCAAAAACAACAAATTGGTAAAGACTAGCAAACTTCAGATTTTTCAGCATATTGTATTTTTTGTGCAGCATTGTGCAATTAGTTATCTTAAATAATATTTTTCTAATAAATCTTTCATTAATGTTAATGTAAAAAGTGCTTTTATGTATTTTACAAGCTTTGTAGTTTTATCCAAATAAATGTATTTAATGTTTTCATGCAGTGTGTAGTTAATGTTGTGATTTTTCTTTTCGGAGAAAGCTTGACTGTAACCCTTTTGGGTTTTAGGCCCATTTGTGACCTCTTTAATTAGTGTTAGAGGTCAATAAATAACCATGTGTTTTTTTAAAAAAGTTGTTTGAGCAAAAGTATGGAGAATACACTTGATTTGCTAGCTCAGATTGACATCAACACTCCAGTGGATGAATGTCACTGAATGAAACTGGCTTCCAGGCTAGTTTATTGCAGTACAATGTTTCCTTCTACAATTATGCCTATAGATGCTGAAATTTCCAATCACACCTTCAGGACACTCAATTCTCACCCCATCGTAGGGGCTCGGACACTCCATTGGGAGCCACTGCCACTTCCAAACCAGCTGCGGCACTTGTGGCCAAGGGTTCTGCTCTCCCTGTACATGGACAGATCAAAAGATGGGTGAAATGTGACTTTTGAAATCTGTATTAATACCCATACATCTCTCTCCCATTCAAGGCAGACAAATGATGTTTCAGCAGGGATAGCAATTCACCCTGTGAGAGTGGAGCATCTTTATTTTGTCATTACAAATCATCCTCCCAAGTGAAATATTTTCAAAATAGTTAAGCCTAACCCCCTTGCTTTAGTGCTGAAACAACTTTTTAATAACTAACGATACTTAACGTGTGTGATGAAGAGGATTTATTCATTTTCTCAATTCTTACAGGAAAATAAACAAACAACACTACAATTGTGTCTATACAGGTTAAAACTGGAAAGTCATCATCAACATTTATTTAAATGACAACTGATTAGTTATAGGTCATATATCGTGGGGTAGCGCTGAATTTAGCGTATGACTTGATGACTTTATTCACAGCTTCCAAGAAGTCCTTTTCCGTGGCGATTTTCCTGCGGGCTCTGATGGCAAACATGCCTGCTTCTGTGCACACACTGCGGATCTCAGCACCTGCAGCAGCACAGGAGGAGGGTCAGTCAGGGGACAAGTTAAAGGAACTCATACAAGTTGTTCATTTCCCCAAATTAAAGTTAGTCTTGTACACTGCATCTTCTTTTTGCTTAATTAAAAAAAACCCTAAACATGCTTCTTGGTCTTTCAAGGTAGCAGTATTCGGTCTTGTGTGCATACACCCAAAAGTAGGCTCTCACCTGTGCTGTTGGGACAGAGGCGGGCCAACAGTTCAAACCTGATGTCCCTCTCAACACTCATGGAGCGAGCGTGGATCTTAAAAATGTGAGTACGCCCCTGGAAAAGAGATTTCATTTTTACACCAAGAACTACTCCCAATTTCAAACGGTTGTATCTGTCCTGTATGAAGGGCTCAAGAACGTGATGCCAAGAACACTTTTTTAAACCCACCTACGTGTCACTGTTGAGACATTTTCCTTTCCCCCGAAAAAAATTATTTCCATTGCAGACTAAAAAAAATTACGAGTTTCACACGTTCCAATTACAGAATATTTTCAATAATCACAAGGTAGGATTTATGAAATATACATTTTTCAAACCATGTGGCACGACTTCCCTTTCAGATTCAAAAATGGCATAACAATTGAACGCACACCCTTATGGCACATTACTGTTACAACTCATCGTTGAGTTTACCTGAAGTAAGAGATCATATTTCTGCGATTTCCCTCATGGGATCAATAAAGTATCTGTGTAGAATGAGAATGTTGCGCTACATGCTGAGTAAAGCACTGCATCGATCAAACGCACCTCCAGGTCAGGCAAGCTGAACTCGATCTTGCGGTCCAGCCGGCCAGGCCTCATTAGAGCTGGGTCCAGAGTGTCGGGTCTGTTGGTGGCCATCAACACCTTGATGTTCCCTCTGGGGTCAAAGCCATCCAGCTGGTTAATGAGTTCCAGCATAGTCCTCTGGACTTCATTATCACCCCCGGCCCCGTCGTCAAAACGGGCCCCTGCCAGACACATCCAAGCACGCGTTGCCTCAGTATTTTAGACGGGGGCAGGGAGGAGCAAGGCTGCTTTACTAATCTATTTAAGAGGTCAGTGAATTTAGGGGATTTGAGATTTCCGATAGTGAAAGGGGGTAGAACTGGCCTTATGATCTGTTCCCAGTAGAAAATGATGGACTGGTTCAACCAGCAGAAGAGCATTGCGGGAGTGCAGGCCGAGGCCTACAATCCAGGCATTGCTTGACGTAACAGGTCTGACAAACAATCAGTCAAGCGTCAGGTATGCTCGTGGTTGGCTTACTGAACAGCAGTACGCTGGGACTTGCAGGGTGACAGTTTGCTCATAGTGCCATCGCGGAGAGCTGTACTGCTCCTGCACCTGAACTTGCAGTTTGCAGAAGGGAGAGTTACTCAAGGACAGCCTTGTCCTTTCCCAGCTCTCGTCCCTGTGCTTATCTAGGAGGCACTGTGTCTTTTTACCAGTGACCGGCCGTTATCAAACTTTACTGTGAGGACAGAAATACTTGGGCCTCACTCAACTTGATTCCTGAGTGTACAAGTGTATGTTTTGACTTTTGGTTCAGCGATTGCAAAATAACTGGAAAAACAATAGAAACAGTCTGCCAATTCATGTCTTAAGTCAAACAACTGGTTAATATTCCCTCAAAGCGACTACCTAGTGTGCAAACACTAAGGCTAAAGCTCCATACCTCCAATGGCATCAATTTCATCAAAGAAAATCAGGCAGGCTTTCTTTGTTCTGGCCATCTCGAACAGCTCACGGACCATTCTGGCACCCTAGAGGGAACAAACAAGCCAATCGCAATTATAGCCTTAAACGCAAGCACTTACTCCATAAGTTATGGAGAAAAACCTCAAATCCTGTCCCACAGGCTAAGTAGCACACTTGTCAATGTCTAAGCAATACATTAAAGGAATTGCTCATTTAGCAGTCACAACTGGGCTAAAACGCTAATCCCACCATGCGAAGGATGGGCCTGTAATGGCAGTTCTCCCTCACCTCCCCCACGTATTTCTGGACGAGCTCGGACCCGATGACTCGGATGAAGCAGGCGTCGGTGCGGTTGGCCACGGCTCGAGCGCACAGCGTCTTCCCGGTGCCAGGAGGGCCAAAGAGCAGCACCCCCTTCGGGGGCTCGATCCCCAGGTTGACAAAGCGCTCAGGCTGCAGGGGAGAGAAACAGGAGGTTGTCTTCCACGCCATGGAGCCTCATCAGCAGAGCTAAGGAGCCCTTGAAGGCCTATATGGCATTCATACATGACCATGAAGCAATTCAAAGACATACATTTACATTAGCTAGTGCTAATTAAAAAAAAAAACTTTCAGACTAAGGAGTATTTTGAGAAGTTTAAGTAGGGTAGAATTACTTAACGGAAAAACAAAGCCTTAATTCTTAATGAGGAAAAAAGTGATTAATCATGCTTAAACAAAAAAATCCTTTAATAGATTAAATCAGTGCACAATGTACACTTTTTATAAAATATAAAATAACATTACACATTGATGGCAATGTATAGTATTGGGGGTCAGAATTGGGTATTGCAGGGCACGGATAAACTGATCAGATACATGTCTTCATGACTACCACCTTTGGGGATCATGCTTTTTGAAAAGCAAGTGTTAATTTGAATTCTCTCTGGCAGAAGTGCAGAACAGACCCTTGCTTCTGCTTCACATAGATGTAGCACATTAACACCACAAGTTAAAATATAATACCCCTAAAACTGAAAATGCACTATTGTGCTGTTCTCCTTTCATGAATGAATATCCATATGGGGATCATATTGCCTCACGTCTCAGTTTCCTTGTACTTGGTAACAGGTCTCTTTTCATTGTGCATTACAAGTTCTTTCTACCGTGACGGAATGAAAAATAACCAAAGGAAAAGGTTGAAAACTGATAAAGAAATTAAAAAAAAAAAACACTTACGTGAAGCAAAGGAGTCTCGACCACCTCCCTCAGCTTCTCGATCTGTTCCTTGCAGCCTCCCACATCGCTGTAGGTCACATCAGGCTTCTCCTCCACCTGGACGGAGTAGAAAAATACAGATCGGAACGGGGCTTTCTGCAGAAGTACCCCACCTGGACTTCATCATTCCTCTGCACAAGCACAGAAGCATGGTTGTAAACAAGGAGGCCACCTTGGTGTAGACCGAGTGATTGGTGCGGGTGTGCTCCTTACACACATGCTTGTAATATGATCGATTTGTAACGGAAAACAAACGGGACGTAGAGGTAACTTGTATTGCTTTCATGACTGGGAGCCTGCTGCTGACAAGTGTCAGAAATGTAATTGGTCGTGTTACAAAACTTTATATATAACAATTATATATACTGCGATAGCAGAGCTGAGGCAATCACCCAGATTCCCACTCTTTAGAAAACCAACCCGAGACAAGAGCACCCCAACAAAAGTGCACAAGTCACAAAAGAACAGAACACAAAAAA